TGGACTGTACCTTTGGCAGACTGAAAGGAAGATGGAGGTGTGTTTATGGAAGGCTAGACCTTTTGGAGAATCATATCCCCCAGGAGGTGGACACATGCTGTTGCTTAAATAATTTCTGCAAGAGTAAGGGTAAAGTTTTTCCCCCATGAGTGCAGCACAGCATACGCATTTGGGTGCACATTTTGAAAAGTCAAAATACTCGGGCTGTCAAAGGAGTGCATAGGCTGGCCATCAAGATCATGGAGGATCTGAGGAACCACTTTGACAACAAGGAAGCCTGAGATTTCTGTGTGTTGGGGTTGCTTTCCTACCTCTAAGCAAGGCATCCCCATTGTTCCAAACGGCTCAGAACAAAGCATTTGGTGTGGGTTGTTTAACACAAAATAAACCTCATGGAAACATGTATGACATTCTCTTTGAAAACCCTTACAGCTGTGGTTACATCCAGCTGTCACCACTGCTTTCACATGGAGTGGAGTGTAAGGGGAAGAAACCATTACTGGGTTGTGGTAAGTGTGTGGGTGTAGAGGAAGGGTTGCTGGATTCAGAATTGCACCTTTGCGGCCATGAATGGTGATGTGGGAGGGGAAGAGGGTAGAGGCCTGGGGCGGGAAGGGGGCTTATGTTATGATCTCTAGTATTGTTCAGGAGTATTATGCATCTTAGTATGTCATGTTAGTCCTTCATGAGCTGTAGCATGCATTCAGTGGTCTCCTGTCTGTTAATTGGCCCTAACTTATCTCATTTCCACTCTCTGCTCACCATCCCTATCTCTTTGTTCCCTCTCCATAGCTCCTCCCTGCTACTCTGATTGACGTGAGTGACCCAACAAATCCTTCACCAGATCATCATGTGTCCTGGGCTTTTTTTCCTTAGTTGTCATAGCCTGCCTGATGGTTGACAAGGCGGCTGAGTTCTCAAGGTCTGGTATGCAAAAGCAACTATTAACAACAGAGTGATTACTTTTCACAATAAAGATGGTTACATTTCACTTATATGCAGGCCCCTGAACAAAAACAAAACAAAACCACAAACTTCCCACTTAGTCTGGAAGCAAAATACAGATCTCTGTAGACACTGTACTCACGGTGAGTTTTAAAGTGTGAGGGGAGGGGGAGGAAGGAGGGTTGCTTATGACTAAGAAAGTACAGACTGCTGTTGTACAAGGAAACAATTTTTGATAATCCTACATGCTGCAAATCGCTCCTGCGGACATATCACTGCTGAAGGTTAACAAGCAAACCT